TGAACTGCACTTACATGTAAGCAGGGTGGGGACGGCGTCAGACGAAAAAAGAACATTAAAGATATCGGTCAGATTTCCCTGCTCTTACTATAGCAATATATGGGGCAGACGCTTCCTTAATGTCAGCACTAGATGAGGGCGATTGTTCAGCTTCACGCACCGGCCACTTTACCCCTAGTGTAGATTGGATAAGAAACTGGGTGACCCTCGGAGGCGGTCTGGACACTAGTGAAGAAAGAAGTCTACCCCCGATTCCCGTATCATTCAGCTCATAACCTAGTCACTACACCTACTGAGCTATCCTGTTTACGGTTTATTTAACAACGCTCTCAGTAAATGACATATACACGGTATGTCCAGGATCCGTTAGGACTCATTTCTTTTTATCTTGCCCTGCAATGCCATCTGTTGGCGAGTTGTGGCTTTAAGGTTCTTGAAGTTTCAGCTGTGACAGTCTGTAATTTCAAAGCGCAAGCATCGCTACATCATGTGTTCTAACCTTGAATGTAACAGTACTGTTCTGACGCTCGTTGGAAAATGTCGGTTGAACAGAGAGGCAACATAAAATTTTGTTTCAAGTTAGGCAAAACAGCCGCAGAGGCGTACGAAATGATGAAAAGTGTGTACGGTAGTGATTGTTTGATTGGCTTGAACATTTTTAGATGGTATGGTGTATTTCGTGATGGCAGGGAGGATATTGAAGACGCTCCACGTGCATCAAAGCCAAGAACAAGTCGCACTGAAGAAAATATGAAAAAAGTGACGGAAATCCTTGCATCAGACAGATGTGTTTCTTCAAGACTCATCGAGGAGATTTTGGGAATACCAAAAAGTACTGTGCATCAAATTTTGACCGAAGATTTGGGAAAACGGAAGGTCTCTGCGCGGTTTGTACCGCACGCGCTGTCAGGCAATGAAAAACATGCCAGAGTGGAACACTGCAGAGACATGTTACTGTCGGGCCAGAGTGATACAAAATTTACAAAATCGATTGTTACTGTTGACGAGACATGGTGTCTTCAATATGAGCTTCTCACAAAGCGGCAGAGTGCAGCGTGGTTGAGTCCAAAGAAGCCGAAACCAAAGAAAGTGCGCATGCAAAAGAGTCGAATAAAGACAACGCTAACCGTTTTCTTCGATTCAGAAGGAATCATTCACAAGGAATTTCAGCCAGAATGTCAAACAGTGAACTCTGATTATTATCTCGGAGCTCTCAGCGGTTTGTGGGCGAGAATTCTTCGAATTTGACCTGGATATCCAGAGCAAGGTTCCTGGTCGCTCCTCGACGACAATGCCCCACCCTACAAATCGAAGATCGTTGTCTATTTTTTGGCCAGAAAATGGATCACAGTCCTTGATCATCCTCCGTATTCGCCAGAATTGGCTCCAGCAGATTTCTAGTTGTTCCCAAAAGTTAAGTTGGCGATGAAAGGAGACCGTCACGGCACCATCCAAGACACCCAAAGGAAATGTACCACAGTTTTAAATGCGTTTCCACAAAAGGAGTACAGTGACTATTTTCGGAAACTTTTCAATCGATTCCATCTATGTATTGATTCAGAAGGAGACTATTTTGAATAAAAAGAGCGAAATTTTTAAAAAATTCAAGTCTTGTATTTTTAATGAACACAGTCCTAACAGAACCTGGACACACTGTATAGCGTCGATTTATGGGCTGATTAGTGAAAGTATGACGCCGTAGCGTTGTTGGTTGAGGCACTATGCTACAAACCGGATGATCGCGGATTCGAGACCCGGTGAGATGGATTTTTTTAATTGACCTAGACCTTCCAGCCGCTCTATGGTCCTGGGATCGACTCAGCCTCTAACAGAAATGAGTACCAGGAACCTTCCTGGGGTAGAGGGAGGCCGGTGCATAATGCTGACAACCTCACCGCCGTCTGTGAACCGATTGTCTAGAAAATGTGTGAAACTCGACGGCTCACAAACCTGTGGGCCTTCGTGGCCTGTTACAGGGATAGCTTTACCTTTTTTTACGTATAAGGAAGTGGCCGTGACCTGATTTGCCGTACTATCCCCGTGCTTCAGGAGAAATCCAAGAAAAACCGAGAGAAACTTAAGCAGTCAAGATAGCGTACTGTATGTCCAGTTGAGTCTCATCTACCTGAACTCAAAAATACTACTACAAGGCTCCAAACTATGTATCGAACTTCTGATGACTGTGCTGCTTTCTGCAGCCGTTTGTCACTTCCAACCCCATTTGGTTTAAATATTCTCTTCAGGGCCCTGTTCACACTCTCTCAGTCCATGTTCTTCCCTTTATGTGAAAGACCAGATAGCATATCCATATAAAGCAACTGATGAATTGTGAAATAAATGTAAAGTTGATCCTGTGCTTAATTAATTAAGCGCGACGCCATGAAGACGGTTGTAGGAGTGGAGTTATAGCTCCACTATTCTTTACCTCGGCACTATATGGAGGTGAGCTGTCAGCCTCACGACCCGGCCTCTGTGCCTCCGGGTGAGAACCGCCGGTATTCGTTGGATAGGAGGCTGGGTGGGCCCCAGAGCCGGTCTGGACGCTGTGGTGTGGAGAAAAATAATCTTGCCCCTTCGAGGAATCGAACCGCTGCCGTGCCTCGTCGCTATACCGACTGAGCTGTCCCTACTATGTAGCCGAATTATAGTTTCGTATATTCTACAGTAGTTGTTCAGATAAGAAACGGGAGGACAGTAGAGTCTCTACTGAATGGTAACAAACATTTCACGGATTTAATTTGCTTTAATGTGCCTGTGGCATATTATTATATGCATAAAAATTATACGTAATAGAATTTGTCACAGAAATGTACTGGGAACGTTTTGGCCATAACAAAGGCAACATTGAAAATATTCAGTCAAGAAAAAAAGTTTAATATTTTGCAGTTTTGAAACCAAACATCAGGGCACGCGGCAGCGTAGTTGGTTGAGGCACTATGCTACAAACCGGAAGGTCTCTGGTTTGATTCCCGACGAGGTCATGGAATTTTTCAATTGACCTAATCTTTCCAGCCGCACTATGACCCTGGAGTCAACTGAGCCTCTAACAGAAATGAGTACCAGGAACCTTCCTGGGGGTAAAGGGCGGCCGGCGCGTAGGGCTGACCACCTTGCTGCCATCTGTGACCTGACTGTCTAGAAAATGTGGTAGCCTCGACGTCTCAGAGGCCTAAGGGCCTCCACCGCTTGTTACAAGGATCGCTTTACGTTTTTAAGACGTTTCTCCTTTTGTAAACCGAACATCGCGATCGTGAGGTTAGCATCACTACTTCGCATTCGGAAGATGTCAGGTTCAACTCAGAACCCTGTTACCGCTTATCCTGACTGAGGATATTCCTGGTTTTTCTCAGACCCTTAAGGCAAATTCCTGGATAGTGCATCAAATTAGGGTGTAACCGTTTCTTTCCACATCCTTTCCAATTCGTTATTCACTAATCATCATACCATTCACTCTCTCTAGTCTAAACTTTGCTAAGTTAACCGTAGATAAATACAATGTATGACCTGTACTCTTGTGTCTTTATGCAGTAAATGAAGTTGGTTGCTCGAGACCACGAGGTGTAAATGAGCCAAAAACTCAACATCAATAAATTATATATATTAATCTTTAAACACAGTGGTAACCATATGTACCACCTGTTTAAACCACTCGTAAGATCCGAACTCTGCCTTCACTGTGTAATATATTTTACATGTTTGTCAGAATGAACATCTTTTAATCGGTTGGTTTTTAGTGGAGACGTATTGTGTTTTCTCTAAAGTAGGTACTGGAGTTTTAAATATTATTTAGACACATTTCAGGCTTAAAGGTAAAGTTGTCCCTGTGCTTAACTAATTAAGCACTACACCATGAAGGCGTATAGGGGATTGAATGTGTAGATCCACATTTTCTTGACCTCGGCACTAGTTAGAGGTGAGTGGTCAGCTTCACGCCTCAGCTGCTTTACCCCCTGCAAAGGGCCTCCAGTACCTAGTTTCATATTTAAACGGATTGACTCTCGATTATTGAGAATGATTCTGGACAGGGTGATTTGTCCTTATGTTTCTACCGCACTCCCTCCTCCAGACAACACTGTACTTACCTTGAGAACCATGGTGATCCAGCAGGCTGAGTTCCAGTAATAAAGTTGGCAGTCACAGTGTGTTTATATATGTGACGGAAGTGTCGGCTGTGTGACGTAACAACTTGGATGTATTGTGAGACACCTTTCTCCCTTGGGAGGCAAAACTGGATGTCTCAAAATGGACCCCGCCTGGCAGGTGTGGGCCGGTGAAGCAATTGGACAGGTTCTCCGCTATCAATTGAACTATATCGCAGAGTTAAACAACCCCACTCAAGGTGACTTGGTCCACTGTATCAACTGCTCTGGTTTTGTAGCGTCCATTACTTGCGGTGAGTCTAATAGATGGCGGTGGAATCGAGTGTGGCCGATATTTTAATCCATTTTTATTTGGGGAGACTGAGGAAAACACTTAATTTTAATCCTTACAGCCGATGCTCACTCCCGAGATTCTAAATTGTGACTCCACCATATGAAGCAAAAGTCATGATCATTACCACACGATGTTCCCATAGTAACTTCAGAAGTAGAAAGACAGTACTTTCTTCTATCGCCTTTTTCTTAATTTAATTTTGCAATTTTACCTCCAGTAGGCCTGTCAGTCATATTTACGGCCTGATATAATACGCATTTATGTGTATATATTGTGGCATGTAGACCCGTTGCTTGGCAGCAATCGCGAGATAAGCAAATATACAACAGCAGTTACTGAGTAATGGCTCTACTGTGATATTTTTATGTTTTACATAAGCATTACTTATATCATATTTTACATTTTTGATTGTCTTTTAGGGATACCGTTTCCTTCATTGATCCTCAACCCCACTTGCTGCGGATTAGCGAGCGAGGGTTTACTGTAGTTCATAACTTAGAGGTACATGGAGCTGGCTATGTTAAGTATTGCAACGCCATTTTACAAAGGCTGGTTGTGTGTTGCAGGTGAGTACTGGCCCTGTCTGTCTGCCGAGATGCCGCTGGGTGAGTAGGTGCACTCTGCTTCCTGTGAGAGGTGGCTTCAGGTGAACCTTAGCGTTACGTTGCCCTAAGTATGCGTGCCTAGTCCCGATGTTTGCAGCTTTTCGGATTCTGACGCCCGTGTTTGAGGCTCTTCGTTTCTTTATGCGACGCCGTCAGTTGGACTATATGTAAGGCTGAATGGTATGATGTTCGGTGAACAGTAAATTGTAAGAAAGCCGTCGTGGTTTAGTCGAAGTCTGATCACGAAATTTGCTTGGAAGGACTGAGGAAAACCGAAGGAAAGAAACTTCAGTCAGGATATCCGGTGTTACGGTCGGGTTTCAAACCGAGCTACCTTCAGAATGCAAGTTTACCGCGTTACCGCAAGGCTGATCAGTTCGGGTTTGAGGCTTCTGTTACTGTAACATTTGGTATTCTTGTAAATCAGTGTTCTGCAAACTTTTTCTACTCGCGGCACACCATGAAGTATCCATGACTCAACACGGCACACCAAAATGTTATTCCCTTCAAAAACGCATTATATCAGACAATTAATATAAATACATAACGTGATCAACTTATTGCTATAATATTATTATATTGTTATTTTATTATCATTAAACAGAAATCGACCCATGCATTTATTAACAATTAATGAACTTCAATTCACTGTAGAGTGTAGAAAATACACTTCTATTGCTATTAAAGTAAATACAGTAATTCTACTCATACACTCAGTGTGATACTTGCGCCTGCGTAGCTGCACACAGGCGACTGATCCGTGGTGGAATCGTTGACAACGCAAGTCTCCATGGTTTATGCTGACCGTCTTACAGTGTATACACTTTTTTACGTTACTCTTCACTTCCACACTACGTGTTTCAGCCCTAATGTGCCATCTTCAGGTGTCTTTATACACGTTAAACTATTGTACTGCATGCCATAATGTCTTCATTCTAAAATGACTAAAATCTGTGTTCGTCATATAGGACGATGAATTCTAAATAATAATAAAACTTTTCAGGATTCTTCCTACGTCGCACTCAAACACGCGAATTACGCCAATCCTCTTTTATGTGAGCATTCCTCCTACATATATTTGTGTATCGTGTTCTGTGTTCTGTTGTGTTATCCAGCAGTACAACGCATGCAGTAACAGGAGCAAAACACAACACAGAACACGATACACAAATATATATAGGAGGAATGCTCACATAAAAGAGGACTGGCGTAATTCGCGTGTTTGAGTGCGACGTAGGAAGAATCCTGAAAAGTTTTATTATTATTGTTTAGAATTCATCGTCCTATATGACGAACACAGATTTTATTCATTTTAGAATGAAGGCATTATGGCATGCAGTACAATAGTTTAACGTGCATAAAGACACCTGAAGATGGCACATTAGTGCTAAAACATGTAGTGTGGAAGTGAAGAGTAAGGTGAAAAAGTGTATACACTGTAAGACGGTCAGGATAAACCATGGGCATGAATCAGTGTAACAGGACGCTAAAATATAACAACGCAAGTCTTATTTCTTCATCGATGGATTTGCGCCTCTCCCTCTTTGATGTCTTATTTTCAGTTAACGTCGAGAAGCCCAGTTCACAAAGATATGTAGTTGAAAATGGCAATAACACATTAACTGCCATCTCGGAGATAGCCGGGTATTCACTCCTTATTGCCAGCCAAAACGTATCCAAAGGCAAAGAAGTTTTAGTTTCAATGTTCTGTCTGCTATTAAATCTGCGAGTTCCTCTTGTATAATAATCGGAAGATGTTCTGAATTCACAACAAATGGATCACGAACCCAGTCGAAATCTCGTACACTCTCTCCAAAATACTTATTGAATTTCTGCTGCAGCATTTCTAAATGTTCTTTAATTGTGTCCATCAGCACTTTATTGCCGTCAGCAAGTGGTCATACAGTCGGGGACATCTCAAACGACCCATCTGTAATTCTCTAACTAGCAACCAAAATTTGCGAACTACTTCAGAGCACAGCTGTGACAGAACTGAAAAATTGTAAAACGCGGGATCTCTACTCTTCAAACGGAAGAAGTGACACTATACCGACTTATTTTTTAAATATTTATAATTTTAAATGAAGTCCAACAATCGGTGGGTGCATCGTTACAGGAAGAAAGTCATAAAGTTGAAGAAGCTCTAACTTCTAACAAACAGGGGCAAATACCAAAACAGCGTTATAAAGGACAGGAAAACCCATGCTAATCCCTACACTTTTAGGGAAAAGCACGTACACAGAACATGCGGCAAGCATATCAAAGAAGCTGCTTAGATGCGAGAAAAATAAAAATAAATCAATAATGAAAACTATGATATAACAACAACTGTGAGTAAATAATTTTCGTTTAATTTCTTAGAATACAACGTTACTGTACATAAAAAATCACAGCATGTAATAAAGAATAAACAAGCATCATCTTGTAAGATTTGAGGCTTTCACGGCGGTGACTATGAAGAAAGCAGTCTTTTGGGATTTGGCACCATGTATAAGTGGTGTTGACCGACGTTTCGGACTGTCTGCTTTTACCGGTTCTCACGGTCTCTTCGCTTGCAGTATTCTTATATTTTCTTCTACCCTGAAGATGGAGGCGATACGTTCCTCCGAAACGTCGGTTAACACCACTTATACACGGTGCCAAATCCCAAAAGACTGCTTTCTTCAAGCATCATCTTGTTTAATCAGTGCAGTGGCTGAGAATAAAATACAAGCATATGAAACACGGTAACTGGGATAAAATGAAACGAATAAAATTCGACAATTAATTTCTTACAATAGGTAAAAGTTCGCGTCACACCTTTCACCTTGTGACGTCACACCAGTGTGTCGCGGCACACCGGTTGCGGAACACTGTTGTAAATTGTGGTCAAGTTTTGAATTCGGTTATGTTCGTGAAGAACATAAAGAGCGAAGAGCCATTCAGTTCACATCGTTGTGCTTTGCGTCTGCTATCGAAGAACATATACTAAAATACAATTTTGGCTGTTGTTTTATATGGGTCTGAAACTTTGTATTTTACATTAAGAGAAAATCTTCAGCGTGTGTCATCGTTCACATCTCAAGTTTGATGTTTTTGTATTGTAGAACTTAACCTCAACGGATACTTCTTTCGGGTACTATTGAATACGCGTAACTCTGAACAATAGTAAGGTGTTTGCTATCTTGTTCGAGAATGAGGCAATTTGCTTGTTATTTTTATGTATTTCGAATGAAGCTGCAAGCTACTGCGTGTCGCGCCCTCATGTCCCCAGTTCTTTATTGTGACCGCTAACTTTCTTCATTATTGACTGTACAATTAAATTGGCCTCCTCTTGAAGCCGCCTCTCTAGTGTTGTGATGTTTGTGCGTTTGGTGATGGGAATGTTCCTTATGCCAATTCATCAAGTGCCGTGTCTCATATACAAGATGACATTGACATGTTGGAAGCTGATTCCTTTCCGCGCATGCGCGTGCAGAGACTTAATTTAGTACACGTATCGTATATGAATTGGTGCTGTATTCGTTGTTGCATGTTTGAGGAAACTAACGAATTCGTTATGTTAACACGTATCTAATTCAACGCCTTAATTAAGTACTGTTTGCTTGGTAACTCGTTTTTCTTTCGTCGTAATGGAATGCACTGATTGGATCATAGTGGTCTTACACAATAAAACGAATGAGTGTAATCACTCCATGCTCGTGTGCATACATCGAAACGCTTCCCGTATGCTACATAGATCCACTCTTACATCAGTTTAAGTTATGAAGATGAAAAGGAAATGGTCACCTGAGTACTGGAATATACTCTTACACCTTACTTAATCCATTCCTCTTGTACCCTACGGTGACGAGATTGTTATTTCATTTTGATCATTTTACAGACGGTAGGTCTCCTTGGACGAGTGATGAGCTCGTCGCAAGGCCTCTACCTACATACAGGACAACACAAACACAGAATAAATGTATACGCATAAAAAACATCCATGCCTTGTGTGGGATTCGAACCCACGATCCCGGCTTCCGAGCGAGCGAAGAGAGTACATGCCCTAGACCGCTCGGCTACCGTGAGCGACCCATCGATATCAATTTTCGGAAAAGTGTATTTGAGATTAGGGACCCAGCTGCAATTTAAACGTGATTTAGAATAAGACATTATTAAATTTCACGTTTGAAAGTAAGATAAACTTATGGAAGTATGTGTAGGTACTACAACACAATTCGGAGAACTAGAAAAAATGCGTTGTCACATTTTCATCCAAAAGTGGAGAGCACTCCAGTGCTCAAGAAACAAATTGTTTCCTTTTTGTCATACTTTATTTATTCGTATCTAAGACAGGAAGACATTCTGCAATTTTATGTCCAACAAGGACTGTGTGGACTTGCCCCGCTTTTTTCTTTTATGCATCTGTGTAAGACTCGAACCCCAATATATATATTTTAGCATGTAGACTTGAATGCGGGGTAAAGACACTAGTTGGCTATGCATTTTTAGAAACTATACGCACGTTCTTGCAAGACATACAACTGCCAATGCAGTGAACTGTTTTGAAAATTACAAACTTTGATGTAGTTTTAATCTCCAATATGAGATATATTCCATATCGAATCTTCTGTGTTACTTGGCTTTTTGCCCGGCCATTGTTACGTTGCAGACATTTCTGTTTTGTTTTAGGCAGGTGCAACGCTTTGTTCTGTATTTGTAGTTTCTAGAAAGCGTTGCTGTCCTATGGGTTAGCGGTTTTCTTTCATTCAAGTGACAGTGATGTCTTAATTGCATCTGTTGGTCCTTCTCGTCTGCGACTTAACTTGTTCGTCGGTGTAAATGGTCGGTATATTCACGAATCTTCCAGCTGTCAGTAACAGGAGAAGCGTGTGAGTGCTAGAGTGGAGTTAATGTCAATTTTAAGTGAGAATTTCTCAATGCTTTTTAAGGAACTTCTTACCTCTGCTTATATAGGCCATCGCCAAGCAGTGCACTATAGATTTGCATTCCTCTATGCTTCCATTGAGTCCACAAAGCTAAGATATCCTGTTACACGCGTATACGGTTTTGGAGACTTCAGTGCATGGCTAAGACATGAATTAATGCCAATTTTAAGAGATAATTTCTCGATCTTTAAGGAACTTCTGACCTTTGTGTATATAACCCGTCACCAAAGAGTGAACTATAAAGTTGCATCCCGCTATGCTTCCCTTGGAACCACACAGCTAAGACAACCTGTTATTCGCGCATACCGTTTTTTTCTGAGACTTTAATGCATGGGTAAGACACGAACCATGTTCTACCTATTGGTTGATGTATACAAGCAGAGGTGGGAAGCAATGCAGTCACTCTGGACAATAAGGCATGTCAGTATGGAGCATATATCGATCGTTTCGGAGAACGTCTCTGCTTCCGTCGACAGGAACTGATGGAGATGGGTGACGCAGATTATTATGAGTGTTGCATCAGTCCAGAGCTTCCCGTCACAATATGACTAACTGGATGCTCGATATCCGCCACGGTATAGCTCCACCTTTAGGGGATGACAGCTTGAGATTTACGGAAAATTCGTCTTTGAAGACACCGATCATTGCACATAGTCGCTGAAAAGATGTGGAAATACTACCGATATTATATAGCGTAGTCGGTGTAGCGACTGGCTACGGGCTCGACGACTGAGGGGGTCGCGGTTCTAGTGCCGGTAGGGTCAAGAATCTTCTCCAAATCGTCAAGGCCAGCTCTGGGGTCCACCCAACCTCCTGTCAAATGGGTACCGGGGGCTCTTTCTCCGGCGATAAAGCGGCTGGGGCGTGAATCTGAGCACTCACCTCCAGTTAGTGCGTAAGTCAAGAAAATGTGGAACTATACATCGACTCCCCCATGTATGTACAAAGAAGCATTGGCCTTACTTGCGTATTGCACTAGTTAGGATTGAATTCAGTAGGCTGTATATCAGATGTGGCCAAACTCTGGCTGGCGAATTGCGTACGGTTGTTCTTGAAGTGTTAGCGCTACTTGCGGAAAAGAAAGATGAATCCCTTCCCTTCATTTTAGAATTAATTAAATGTGAAATATATGTTTTGTGGGAAGTGTGTACCTTGTCACACATCATAAAATTCGTATGTGTTTGCGGCTCCCAAAATACTGAAAATTATATGTGGTTTGAAAGTTATGTCAGTGACTGTGAAGATTTATGTCTTCTGGAGTATAACGCTTCTTGCCGCGTGACTGAAACTGATTTATTGCTTGGATTAATTTTCAACCCTGGAGGTGGAAGCGAAATGTTCCTCCGAATCGTCGTTTGACTCTCACAGGACTCCTCGGCGTTATGTTCTAGAAGACAGCTACTAGTATTTTGAGAACTGTGTCACAAGGCTCCAATGTTCAGGAGGTTTGGCCACTCCTGGTATGTACGATTATAGATTCTGTTGCTGGAGGTTTTGTATTATGATGAAACAGTAACTGGTTAGAGCTCTGCATTTCGGTGGAAGGAAAGCTACCAGAGCCTTTCACTGCAGGGACATGCCAGAAGTTCTGAGTTATGTGTGCAGATGCGTTATCTTGAGAACTGAGCTGTACAGCACTCAGATCGCCGTCAACTACAAAAGTATTAATTTAAACCAGAAATGTATATTACATTGTTTCATTCATTCGGCCGTTCTGTACTTTGAATAAACTTGGAGGTGTGTTAGGTAGAAAGAAACAAAGGTGACAGAGGGTTGTCCATCTGCCACTACAGTTAAGGCCGACTGTGTAGATGCAAGTTTTGCTTTTGTACTCTCTTCATTATACTAACCAGTAATTATGCTTAGATCATAAATTAAGAGAATCCGCCCACCCCTTCATTCCACTGTAGAACACAATTCTATATACAGTTGAAGAGTGGCTTTTTCTTCTCTGACGAGTGATATTTTTGCGCTCAATATCTGATTGTGTGCATTGTGATGTGTATACCCATTGATAGGCAATATGGCAGTAAACACATTCCCGCAACACAAGCGCACTTGATAATAGGACATCCATTGCTACGTAACGGTACATTAAACACGCATTCTTGACAGTGTAAGATAGTGTTTTCCGTGGGATCCGTGCCGACGAGTTTTAAGAGGGCACAGAAGACGGGACGGAGTATAGAACAGTAGTTGAGAGTAGTCGAGTCTTCGGAACCATCCAATCCAAAACCCGATCTTATAAGTCACCCCTACACAGGACAGTATTTGCCCATTTTGGTTATATAATAATGGTGCATGGGAGATGCGATTGCAGGACGGGCGAAGGTGAGTGAAACAGCGACTGGATTTGTGTGGCGTTTATTCATTTAGTGACTTTACATAAAGATAAGGTTAGCATGAATCAGGATGATTGCGTGCGAAGTAAAGCTTCATGAGGTTTGCGTTTGAACGATGAGATGCAGATTAACCAATGATGGCTTTAGTTTGCAGAGGGGAGGCATATCCCAGAGGGGACGCGTATCCCAGAGGGGACGCGTATCCCAGAGGGGACGCGTATCCCAGAGGGGCAGCCACCTTAGCCACAGCGGGGGCTGCGTAAGCAATAGGTGCAGCCACTTTAGCCACAGGGGCAGCGACCACGGCGGGTTCACGGTGCACGACGGCGTTGAATCCGTTCAGAGGGTCGGCGGTGTACTCGACGGTACGACGGGTGCCGTCAGGCTCCACCAGGCTGTAGCTGCCCTGGACGACGTCTCCACTACGAGTCTCCTGCTGTCCCTTGGAGTCTCCAGTCAGAGCGTCCTGGATGTCGTAAGCGTAGCTGTACTGGGGGTTGGGGTCGTAGTCGGTGTCGACTGCGGCGACTTTAGCTACGGCGGGGGCGGCGTAGGCAAGGGGAGCAGCGACTCTGGCGACGGCGGGGGCGGAGTAAGCAAGGGGCGCTTGAGCCAAGGCGGGGGCACCATAAGCCAGAGGGGCACCTGGAGATACGACGGCTGGAGCGCCGATGAGTCCTGCTCTGGCAACGGCCAGTAGGGCAGCGAGGATGAAAAGCTGAAAGTGGAAGAAGAGATTATTACTGCAGAGACAAATGCACCAAGTCTTCCTCATATTGTGTATTTAGACTAGGCTGTATATTCTGATCTGTGTATTGCTGCCTAAATTCGTGAATTGTTTCGTTGTTTAAATGCAAGAAGCAATTGATCGTTAATCACTTCCTTTGTTCCTTCCAAGTTACATTAACAATTGAACTAGTAGTTCAAACTTAGAGAATTTAAAGCTTTTGCGGCGATTATGTACAGTGGAGCCTTCTCAAACGAAAATAGAGTTGGTGTCCAACATTAGCAGCTGTGCAGCTGTATCACTCTTCACACCCCCTGATGAGGGGGACGGAAACGGGCTCCGAAATATGCCATACTAATTCAACGTCCACGCGCTAATTACCGTAGAAGATTTTATGTACTAGTAAACTAATTAACCAAAAAATGTGTAAGTAAATGTGATTAATTAACCAATTCTTTGATTATTTAATATGGGAGTGCGATAGCGTAGTTTGTTGATGCACTATGCTACAAGTCTTAAGGTCGGCGGTTCGATTCCCGATGATGTAATTGGATTCTTCAGTTTACCTGATCGTTCTAGCTGTACTATGTCCCTGGGGTCGACTCAGCCTCTAACAGAAATGAGTACCAGGAATCTTCCTGCTGGTAAAGGGCGGCCGGCGCGTAAGGCTGGCAACCTCATCGCCATCTGTGAGCTGACTGTCTAGAAAATGTGGGAGCCTCGACGTCTCACAACCCTATGGACTTCCACTGCACGTTGCAAGGATATCTCTACATCCCTACCCTCTTATGTTCTTTAATACCCCTGTCCATCAAATTTTCATTACTAGTTGTGGCACGTGACTCATCGGTGAGGTATGATTCGCTTAATGTTTCGAAATATTAGTGATGGCACCTTGCCGTGACGTCCCCCGTGTCAACTGTGTACGTCTCGTGAACTGACTGCAGATGTTTCTGCTCTTTTGGACGAGAAGTTTTTGTCAGACTCGAGGATACGTTATTTCTGTTGGCAATAGACTCAGCCCCTGAGACCAGGGCCCCCCGACATTCGCTTCAGTTTGACAATGGAGATTCTCATATGTACTCCGGAAACGGAAACAACATATTCATGATATCCTGCTAGCACTTCGTTTCTTTGGCGCCTATACCTTGGTATCTGTTAATTAGTTAATGATTGCGGTTTAGGGGCTACTTTGGCCCATACCTTATTTATTCAGTACATTGGGGTGTAAGTCGACCTTGAGGTTCCAGGGAGTAATGTCCGTTGTGGCACCTTAAGCAACCTAAGGCCTCACAGTCATATGGGATGTGTGACGCTGTTTCATCTTCGCTCAGGCAGCTTTCGCAAATAGCGTAATAATAATAATAATAATAATAATAATAATAATAATAATGACCGTATGCTTATTAAGCATCTCACCATGAAAACATATGGAAGAGTGGAGGTATAGCTCCACGCATTTGCAACCGTGGCATTTCTTGTAGGTGAGTAGTTAGATTCACGCTTCGGCCGTTTTACCTTCGGAAGCAGGATACAGTGTGGACTCCAGAACCGCTTTAAACGCTGAGGATACAATAAAAATCTCTTGCCCTAGGCGGAAATCGAATTTCGAGTTTTGGTCGCCCTGTGCATAGCGTAGTCACTATACTGAGCTATCCCGGCTCGTAGTAATTACCAATGGGCCACCCATTGGCCCCATCAATCATGCAAAAAACAGCAACAGCTGTGGCCAGGCACCTTCACCAACGTTTCAACATCTCAATGGTCGCATACCTGTATAAAATGTTACTTTGTTTGGCCACGTGTTTATATAGGGCCACAGGGCCAGCCTGGAAGCTGCAGAAAAGAGAAAAGAAACTATTCCCGCCGGGAGTCGAACGCCGTTTCCTCGGTCGTCCAGCCCATAACCTCTTCAGCATACTATCCCGACTGTACCCTGCAGATCATTAGTACCTGTCTGTTATAGCATACGGTGTCATATCGCTGAAAACCGTAATCTTATTTTGAAAATACTTCTCTTACATGTTGTCCTATATTCTAAAAAACTAAATACTAGCTAATTTGTAATAATTATGTTAATTTACTTAATTTATAATAATTCTACGCTTACTAGGGCTCTGAGAATAACCCCTGCGAGCCTTAGAGCTTAACAGTATTGTAATATCCGATTGTTTCTTGCAAGACAGAATAGCGAGTTTCTTGAAATCCGAAACGAATTTTCGTTCGTGCACTGTACTGTACCTTGCAAACCATGGCGTGGAGTGTCTTGTGCTGGGCCTCAGTTGCACCTTGTTTTATATAGCCAGTCATGATGCAATACCGCGCGGGAATGCCTAATTCAGTGAGGGAGGGCGTATCCTTCGGCCTTGATTGCGCGAAGCAGGTTCCCTGTGTCTGATCTTGTTTTGCCCACTTCTGTGCGGGTCAGTGGCCACTGGTCATTTCTGGCAGAACCTGCACACCCGACGGCTCCTGTGGCCACTCGTTTGGGACACCGACCGCCCACTTCAGCTACCAGTTGCTACGGAGACAGAAACGTAATGACTGGGGAGTATGAGCAATACTTTCGCTCCACACGCTTTAGTATGGATTTCTGTTAACCCGCTAGTGCATTTAGCCTTTAAAGCTAAGTGGTTATTATATGTACCCCTTTTTGTAACATTCAAGAAGTCTGCATTTTGCCCACACAGTGCATTTATGTGTTTCACTTCATTCTCACGGTAAACAACAATAGTTTTCCCACATACCATAAGCACGAGTACAGAAGAATCTCCACTGTTGGGAACCGTAACTTGGTGACGTCTAATGGAGATAGTTACTGATCAGTGACTAGTGAGGGCAATGCATGCATTAGTGGCTTGTTACGTGTCTAGATTAGCGGTAGCGCTATAATTGTTTGTAGTTACAAGTCAAATTACCAGTCAGAACACCATATCTAATCACTAATACATAACAATTATTTAGATTAATATCATGGGTTTTCTTGGCTTCCTTCCGTTTTCAAGCAAATGCTGAGATGGTTTCCAAGTTCCTACTGCGTGGCTCTCACATAGCCCTCCCGATTTATACTCGCAAAAGCAAACCCATGTTCTGTAGGCTTCAAAACTGCAACTCTCAGCGCACCAGAAAATAAAAATCTCTTGTTCATTGTTTACAGTGGCTCGGAGTCCCTACTATCATGTATTACTAGATTATTTCACGAACACCCAGGCTAGTGAGCATTGCTCAGGCGCTGGATAAATTCCATGCTCGCAGCTGACGTTCCAGGCCATCAGTTTGGCTTACCTTCCCAATATCTGTCTCACTTTCTCAGGGTTCAAGAGGTTAATACGCAAATCCCCCCCCCCCCCGCCCTTCCAGTGCTGGAGCCATTGCTCCACTTCTACTGGCGGCTTCACAAACCCAGTCATTGGTCAGCGCCGCGCAAATAATTCTTTTTACGTCTACAGCAATTGAACTTAATGACCACTGACGTGTGCGAATACCAAGCAAAAATAGCGTATTTGCATTGCAACTCATGCGAAAGGCCGACAACTCTGTATTCAAGGATAGACCGTAAGTATCTTTCCAAGGTTTACGAGATCTCCTAATATCTCTTCTTCCTTATGCCCTGCATTTTAAAAATGCTTTTGTATCTCTTGTGGAGTGGTTCCTGCTTCAGGGGTGGATAAAATATGACTTCCCTGCACTTAATTCATTAATGAAACATCACCCAAGAAGACATATGGGGGAGTGGAACTTGACCTCAGCGTTAGATGCAAGTGAGAGGTCAGCTTCATGCCTCTGTCGCTTCACTTCACTTCATTATATGGGAAGATGGGTGGGCCCCAGGACCGGGTCTGGATGATGTGAAGGAGAGAAAAGTCCCATAACAGTACGGAGAATCGAGCTCAAATTCCACGACCATCCAACCCACAGCCCATCGCTTTTTGAACCCATTTTGAGCCATAGCGTTCCTTAGGACATTCTGGTAGATTTGTATGACTAGACTGTCTGGTTTTCACTTCTTTGGAATTAGCAACAATAATTTCCTTTTAATAGAGCAAGGTATTCAGCCTTGCTTCGATCCCTGAACCTGGAGGACCGGATCTCTGTTTTTATTGACAGGGTGGCCCAATTATGCCATCAGGCACAGGGTTCCCTTTTCCTCGCCTTCCACGTCTCTCAGCGCTGCGGTGGAGGTATTCCAACCCGCCTCCACTTCTAAATGCATACAATAAATAATGAAGTTTATATTTTGACATATATGCAAAATTTGGCTCCATGGTTTGTGTGTGT